GGGAGGCCACAGGATTTTTTAAAGTACGAAATGAGTGGGGGTGGGGAAGCAATGGGTAAAACACTCAACGCTGTCAACAGTAAAAGATCAAAATAGAGCCAGACTAATCATTACACATGGTGGCCTCGCAGCTTTATATATCAATGCAGAAGTCTCCCAGACGATGAGCTCCAGCTGGCCTTCTGCTCAGTCACAAACGCTCTGGCCCGCTGTCACTCAGGCGCCAAAGAGCAGGGCCTTTCGAACTGTCCAATCAGGGCCAGCCCCGGAGCAGGTGGGTGGGGCGACGGTTCTCGACCAGCCCGGACGTCCTGCTTGCTCCGGCCATCCTCGCGGGTTGCCCGCCTTTAAAGGTCCCAGGTTGCTTTGCCGCAGGCTCTGTCGCATTGTAACCTGTACCGTTACCGGGAATCGTAGGGAGGACGCCGGGGGACACAGGAAACTAGAAATGGTGAGTATGCGGGGCCGGGGTGTGGAGGCTGGCACGAGGGGATGGTTGGAACCGGCTGTAGCGGAACCCGGCCTCCCCAAGGTCAAGTCCGGAGTCGTGGGGCTGCTTCTCGGGCCTCAGTCCCCTCTGGAACGCAGCGTGGGGGCTGGGCTGACAGCCGGGACGCCTGGAGTTCTCTCCGGTCACTGCGAGAGGGCGACTTTGGTCCTGGAGCCTGTCTGGGCAGCTCTGCGCCCGGAGCCTCGCGTCTCCCCAGATGGTGAGGTGACCACAGAGAGTGTCATTAGGGGACAATGGTGACTTGATCTCCGGAGGTTCGTACGTGAGAGAAGCTGTGGTCTGTGGGGGTCCCCAGTTCCTCCTTACCCCCCCCCCCCCGCCCCGGGGCATCCGTTTTCTCTTGAGTTTTCCAAATGTTTGGGAAGCAGGGCCTGAAATCCACGACCCTGACTGCCCCCGCCAACCTTCCTAGGGGTGGCAATAAAGCCCTAAATTTCCAAATCCCTCCCCGTATTACAAACTTCCCTTCTCCGACTCAATCATCAACTATTTGCCCTTCGGGGTGCATTTCAAACAGACCCATATTTTAATTATCATGTTCCCATAGTCAATGGATGGCCCTTTTAATACGTTTTACTTTTTGTTTGTGGATATTTTACATGAGAGAAAAGTGGCGAATAACCACTTGGAACTTATGCTGTATGAAATCCTTGTGCCTCACCTCCCGGGATCTTTCCTGGGCACAGGCTTCCTAGGGGAAAGCCTTTGGGTAGAGATTCCTCCTTGAAACTTTCCTGGGTGATCTGTCTTGTCAGCACTGCCCTTCCTGGGTTTGTCACCTTGAAAAGATATATTCACTTTATTTATGGATTGTTCAAACACTGGGTTTGTACCTTTTTAAAATATCAGTAGTGGTCCAAAGCCATTCCAGTGGGGGATAGAGACCTGAGGACAGAGATCTAAGCTAAGGCCCCTTGACCCGCAAAGGGAACTACTTGAAGGCCCAGTGGTTCTTCCTGGGGAGCCTCCCCTGCAGGTGTCCTACCTGCTCACGCCCGCCATGGAGGGGCCTTTACACTGAGAGAAGCTGCAGCCCTGGAGAGCTGGGAGACACATGCACAAGGCGGTGCCGGGAAATGACATCCCTTCTGAGGTTATGGTTTCTTAGCATCAACATTTTTAGACATTTTGAGTTTGTATCCACAGTGTAGGTGTGCTCAGACTGTCATCTGCACAGTGAGAAAGTTTGTGAAGATCAGGTGTTCTGTCTTGTAGACAAAGGATTTGTGAATTTGGGATTCATTTGGGTGGGTCAGAATTTAAACTGAATCAGGCTGTTTCCTCACTTGTGAGAATGGAAGCGTGGGGGAGGGAGCACTTCCATGTTTATGGCGGGGCAGGGTGTGTGTGGAGCTCCCAGAGTTCATTCCTGGGGCTGCTCAGGGGTCCCTCCCTCCTTCCCCAGGGACTGACACCCACTCCAGGGGTTCTGTCTCAACCTGGAGAGCCTGGAATGTGGGACCTTCTGAAAGCGGCTTTCCTTCTGTCCTGTGGGAAGCAGGCGGCCCCATCTGAGCTGATTCCAACACTTGTGTTTCTTGCCTTTGGATCCTTTATCGACTGAATAGTGCAGCCTTTTGGCTCTGGTTTCCCTGAGCATTTGGGCTCTGAAACTGGAAGATGACAGAGAGATAAGAGGTGAGGAAAGCAAGAAAATTGTGGAACCAAATAGAGTTTTTGTTCTGTTTAGACAAGAGAACCTGAAGATGTGAGATGAATACATTTAAGTTCTCATGTACATTTTTTTATTTTTAGATCATTTTTCGTATGTACATATCCCTAGAGTACGTTGAAAATTAAATAGGCTAAAGCAATTGAACTATTGTAATTGATGTGAAGAAAGCTACTGAAAGCTTATGTAAATCTTTGACAATCCTCTTACATTTAAGGAACTAAACTCAAACCCCTGTGGCATTCTAATATTCTACTTATTCCTGAAAATACCCCCAAGTGTGAGATACATGGGCAGGACGAATGAACTAGGACTCTGCATGTCCTTTTAGTTAGCAAGAGATTTGAAAATTTTCATTTTGTATGGTTTACACATTTGTAACTCTTAGTGCTCAAAGGAATTAAATCTTAGAATGGTTTTCCATGTACAAAAGATTAAATTAAAGACTATTAAATAATATACATACGTTTCTGTTTTGTTTTATTGTTATTTTTTTAATCTGTAAGATAGGAAGTCTAACATCAGAAAACTCACTGGCAACACATTCTGACCCCTTCCATGGTTATTTCAGCCACCCCCAAATACAGTTTTGATCATTTCTTGAACCTCCTGTTAGTGTTTCTGTATATAAATCAATTACAAATGCATATTTTTTTACCCGCCTTTGTTCTTCTAATGAGTAGTGGACTCCCCATTTTTGGATGTTTGACGGCTCACATCCTCTGCCCCTTGTGCTCCAACCTGGACAAGCTGATGGGAAAGCTTGGGTGGTCTCTCCTCTAGACCAGGCAGGAGATTCTATGCACACGAGCTCAGGTCAGTGAGCAAGACTCCTGCCCTGGTCCTGTCCCCAACCGCAGTGGACACCCGGGCCAGGCTCCTTTCCCTGCTTCCTGAAGCCATTTCAGAGCTGCGTGAGAGGCCGTCCTGTCCTCTCCTGAGACCTCTAGTATGTGAGTCCCAAGCCTTTCCCTACCCTCTTGGTATGTGCGGGGGAACCACACCAGCAACATGGGAGCCAGTCCTCTTCAGGTGACCATAACAATTTTTTGAAATTTATTTTTCAATTACAGTTGACATAAAATATTATGTTAGTTTCAGGTATACAACAGTTGTCACTTTGAGCAGCATGTCCTGACATGACCACCCCCCGTGGGTCTGTCTTCTCTTGCTCAGACTTGTTTACCTGCTCTGCTGCCTGATGGTGGCCCGCACTGTGGGCTGCTAGGTGCTGGGGAACTGGTGCTGTGAGCTGTGCTGCCCTGTGTGGCAGCATTGGCCCTACCAAACCCCAGTTTGCAGTGCAGTTAGTCGACCAGAGAAAGCAGTTTCAAGAATTTCTAGGCATTTGGGAGCAGGCGTATGGGACTGGCGTCCTCCCTAACGTGGTCCTGGGTCGATTTCTTTGCCAGGATTTCTCTGTGTTAGAGAAGGCAGCCAGAAGGCGGTGGGGTGAGTCCCTAATAACAGAGGGCTCCCCAGGACTCTTCAGTGCCTCTGGTGCTGCTCCTGCCTCTACTGCAACCCAGAACGTGACCCTCAGAGTTAAAGACAACACCTATGGCCTCACTGTGGCACAGCCAAGGGATTAGTTCAAACCTTACGTAAGCCCAGGGTCCTTAAACCCTATAGAACAAACCATTTGTCCTGGGGGAGGCTCCTAACCCTGATGGTACTGTTTTGATCCTCTCAGCAGAAACAAATTAACAAATACCAGGATAGAGAGGCACCCCGTCCCCCCAAGTATATACAGTGATGAAAAAACAAAACAGGGTAGGTCAGGAGGAAGAAAGTAATAGATAAACTACTGAAACAGAGGTCCACAATTTGACCCTATTGGAAATCCAAAATACACTAAAAGAATTTACATAGCAAAACACTTTTAAAGGTAAATGGTTTTGTGGCCTCTGCAACATAAGTTCTGAATTAATTTTTCTATCTGCCATAATGCACTAACTCAGAAAAATTTTCAAGCCAATTAATTAATACTAGCTCTCAAATTACAGGTATACCTGGGATCCCACTACATTTAAGCACTGATGATCTTGGGAGTGGGTTAATGAATATAATATAGAGGACAATATAAAAACAGGGCAGCGTTTCTCCTTAACCATCAGAACTGTGGTCTTGCCTAAATTTTCCGTTATAACCCCCGTTGTCTTAAAATATCCCACACTGAGGAGGGATGCTCTGATCCAATGATTCATGACTTTAAATTTAAAAAGTCTTTGCCACTTACAGATTGGCTTGACAAAGTGGGAACCCACAGACCTTACCCACCAAATAAATCAGTTAATACGGCATAATGTAAACTACACAGGGCCTTGAAAGACTGAAAACCATATATACAACCTAGTTAATGAAGGGTTGATTACTCCCAGTCCTCCTTTTCACTGCCCAATTTATCTTGTTACTAAACCTGGAAAGAATGAAAGACGCCTCCCAGTGGCTTATCACAACCTTGAAGCTATGGTTGCACCAAATAGCTCTACTCCCAGTCCCCAACATTGTGGATATTACTGACTCCAACTATGCATCAACTGGTGAATATCCTGCTGTCCCAGACTTGGCTAGGTCTGGTCTGTTCAGTGCCTAGTTCAGCAGTCTCTCAGCTGCACTTGGCCTTCACCTCTGAAGGGACATGATTCACTTTACGGGGTTATCCTCATGGATCTTCACCAGCTTTGTCATCTCTCACAGTCATTGCAGGCAAGATCTGAACTGCATCCTGGTTTCTCCAAGGACACAGGTAGGACATTACATTAATTTCACCTCCTCTTCTTAGGACACTCAGGGCATATGAATATTGAAAAAGGAACTAGCAGAACGTGGATGGGACACTGCGATGCATATCATGTGAGGCCCTAACAACTTTGTTAAAATTTTGGATATTATTTGATAATTTGAGACCTGCTCCCTCCCTGACACCATGAAGAAATAAGCTATTATTCCCTCAGCACTCACAACGTCTAGGTTCTTTTGTTGTTCTGGAGGCAACATATTCCTTGTTTACAAATTTTACTTGAGCCCATTTATGCTGTTACTTGCAAATTTGCCACCGTGAATGGGCACCCCTGCCACAAAAGGCTGGAGACTCTCTTCAAACTGACATCCAGTCAGCACTCCTGTTAGTGCCCTAAGAGACTCCTTTTCCATAGAGTCTCTATGGAGAGGCACTAACCTCCTCTCGTGCCTCCTGGAGTGGCCCATGATGGCCTGGAGTTGCCCACAGGCTTCTGTGCAAGAACCTGCACTAGGCCCCA